TTCTATTAGGAGGAGTTTTCTTTTTAGTGCCTTTTATAAGGTATATTTGCCAGTTAGTAGTTGAAGTGCCTACGCATACACACATACATGCATATTCAAATATACACTCTCAATATGATCAGTCACTATTTAAAATATTACCTGAACTACTGAAACTGAAGACAGTAGTAATTTACCTATAACAACATAAATTCCACAAAAGAGACGTTTTGCATCAAAAATGCATCGCAAAAGAAATCTTTTTTTAAAGTTACCTTCCTTTTTTGTCTTGTGAAAAGACTATCTGTATTTTATTTCTGTAGACTTAATCCCTATATTATAACGTTTCCTTGATGCTTCTGAGTGCAGAGTATATTAACAGATGTTGCTTTTGGAGGCTAGGAAAGTGCTCACTCATCAGTCATTTGAATAACACAGTTCTCTTATCTAGAAGTGGTTGAATGTTTCATTATGTACCATATGCTAAGTATGGTTTTTAGGATTTGCTATATAAGTGGCTTTCATTGCAGTAAAAAATTGATGATGAGTTTCTAGAAGTGTTATATTATTTATGTGATTTTGGAACATGTAACAGATTTTTTTGCCGTATTTTAATTCCTCCTTAATTCAAAACTTCATAAGAACCTAACAAATTTTAGTTCAAAGACGAGTCAAGTAAGATCTCATAAGTTTTTTTCTCTTTTTATAATTTCTTTATTAGTCAGCAGAATATCACTCAATAGGGAGTAGACTGATATCACAAGAAGAAGTCTTGGGAAGTTTGTTGCAAAGGAAAGTACAACATGTCCCCCCACTAATGATCCTGATCTCTAAATAGTCACCAGGAGCAGCCCTCAAGCTTAGTGAATACGGGGGCTCTATAAATACAGGGTCACTACAAAAAACACTTCAGGATAATTAAGAAATACTATTTTCTTCCATATTCTTAAAATTTTTTTCTAGATTCACCTCCTAAAGGCAACTTTATAGTAACTTTTAAGTTTATAGTATAAGTTTCTGAGATAATATTATATTATGGGCATAATTTTTTTAAGGTTATTGACCTAAAACACAGTACAGTAAGATAAATTATTGTACTCCTTTTGGCTACCTATAAAAAGTCCCTTAAAATATTCTTTATTATGTGTCTGTGTATATACATGCACATATAATCTTTATCCGCATTCCATTCAATAAGGTGATTCATTTAGCTAATCCCATTAAAGGAGTGAAAAATGAGGCTCATATAAGATGGGCCACCCTATATACTTTCTAGCTAAATGGTAAAAATTTCCAGTACTCCGATCTAATGTTCACAGGGCAGTGAGAGTTACTACATAGCAAATAAGAAAAATAATGAGTAACATGTGCAGAAACTACAGCCAAAATAATATCTAAAAAGCATATTGCACTCAGCGCACTGCTAGGGTGTATCGCAAAGGACCACCCTCTGTTTGTGGAGCCATGGGGAAGAAAACCGGCCCTTTACAGCACATGCTGGATATGTAGTCTTTTTCCATAGAGGCTTTGACTTCTTCCAAAGACCAAAGAGCAACAGTGAAAGAGAAGAGAGCTGTGAATAATTTACGTTCTGATGCAGACCCATGGGTGGTAAAAAAAAAAAATACCTAGGGTGGAAAACAGAGCACTTTTATGTTTCTGAATTATACATTGAGTCACTATTGGTATTTGTAAAATTTAGGTTTTAGATATACTCAGCCATGGATATGTGATTTTTGGTAGACATTTGGAAGAATTAACTTGCGTGGTAAGGTTGTTCTAGACTATTATGGAAATTGTACGAATATAGAAGCAGGTGTACAAAACTCAAGGAAGTAAATAAACTCTAATGAGTGAAGTGGATGACCTTTTATAAGGTGGAAACACAACAGTAGAAAGGAATATATTGTGGAGAATTTTTAACATGAAGTTAAAGAAATTTAATACATGCCATTTCTTTGACCTGACCTGAGCTCTCCTCTCCTTGTCAAAGCCAAGGCAAATTCTAACTCATCAAGGAAGCCCCTCGCAGCCCATGCTAATTTATATATCCTCTGAAATTATTAAATACTGGCAATTATATCAAAAAGCTTTATGCTACACTCATTTTTAATGTCTTATAATTTTGTGTTGTTATGTTGTAACCCCCTTGTAGCAAGGAACAGTTTTTTAAATGGATGCTGTAAAAACAGCAGAAGATCTTTTTAACTGATTTCAGCTTGGCTAATCTGAGTCCCCTTAAAGCACATTCCCTCCCTAGGGCGTGCTGATGGATGCCCACAGCACATCATGCCCAGAGCTGGAAGGACGCTCTTCAGTGCACACCTGCACGTTTGCTTCCGTGAGTCAACTTGCTGCTCATTGGGCATCACTGGGTGCTTGTTCCCTAATCTGTTTATTCCTACTGTACTTCTTAAAGTAATCATCATTTAATTAAATATTTCATAAATCATCAAAATAGTCTAGCAAAACTTGCTAGGAAAACCAGGTATAATAATACTCTAGAGAGACGTTTTGAGTTGCTAAAAAATTTGCTGTTGAATTTGGGGTGGGTAAGATAACAATAAACTGGGGTGGACGACATCATTACATTCTAGTCTCCACTTAATGAAACCACCCATGGATTGTGTCTCATGAGTGAGGTTTCTGCAACAAAAATATGCAGAATTTCTAACAGCAGACCCCTATGCAAAGTAAGGTTCTTTGCCCTACATCACACGTTTGTACATTTATATTTTGAGTTAAATGTTTTAAGTACGTATATTTTATTTTTTATGAATTCCCACTTAAATCTGTCATCTTTGTTTAGCAACCAACTGCTATTTTTCAAACCTGGCAGATACGAGCACTTCCACCTTTTCTTGAATCTTCTTCCAAGCCAGTTGTCTACTTTTAGCTTGATAATGGAAGCAGATGCCCTTGCTAGTAGCAATGGCAGTGTGATTCTGGGGATGTCTCTCACTACATCATCATCTTTCTTTTTAAACAGGCATTGTTCTTGACAGGGGGATTTGTATTCTGTTTTTATCACCTGAATTAACCATACCCACGGAGTTGGTGAAAATTCTCAACCAGTTTTAATTTGGGGGTATTGAAAATTGCAATGTCCAGCAGAGAAAGCAGTGGTTGGTTGAAATAGCCATGAAGAAAGAAAACAAAGTTTAATCCAGCTCTTTTCTGGTGCTTCTTTAAGTCACTAATATTAGCTCACCAGGCAGAGATTTCCTTTATCACATGTTCAATTATGAAAAAATACCACTGTTTTCTATTTCTGTTGATCCCATGGTGTGACTTCACAGTGTATTTACATTGTGAACCTGTTAAATTGTGAAGGGAATTTGATAAATGTTTTCAAATGCTTTTCTCTTTTCAGGCCCATTTCCCATTTGCTTTTTAGATCATTTTTTGGTGAGCGTTCTTTTTTGACATTTACTAAATGTCAGCTGTAGTCCATGTTTAAAACATTGGCGTAAAGCCAGTGGAGTTACCAATTTATATTAGCCTGTTAAGGAAAATTAAATAAAATGTGAAAATGAAATGAAAATTGCTTCAAAGAAAAATGAGGGCTAACAGCAAAAAAGCCCATTAATGGTCTGATCCTCCTCCATTCATTCCCTTGCTGTATTCACAGTTGTGTCATTTTGTACTGTTGCCAGACTCTGAAAGGAAATCCAAAGAAAGATTTAGTCTTTCATATAGCAGCCATTTATTGAGTACCTATTCTGGATCAGCACTAGGAATACAAAGATGAGGAGACTGGTTCCCTCTGCAAGCAGCTCACAGTCTAATGCAGTGATTCTCAAACATGAAATTAAAACCGGAGCTGCTCTGGCTGAAGCCTTTCAGAAGGGTAGGTGGGCCTCCTGAAGGCACATGTTTGTGCAGAGTGTCTACTGCTAGGAATTTTTCCTAAGATAATCAGGAAAATGTGCAAAGATGTATTGAGTCTTTCAGAGTCATGATCTTCATTTTTAAATAATAAATGATTTACCAGCTGTTCCAGCAGATCTTTATTAGACACCTACTCCACTTAACTTTAATAAAGAATTTAGCTCTGAGTTATTTTTCTGGCCCATGCCCGTTGTATGTGTTACTTGTTTGTTGGTATTTAGTTACTGTCTTAATACTTTACTGAGCCAGTTCCCTGTTGAGTTTTCCTTTCTTTCTCTTTCCTCACCAATACAATGTGGACAATATAGTAAGTTAATTACGCAGATGCCTTCTGTCTTTGAACCCTCCTGTCATTGTCGTGGAATTTACTTCTTAAGTGGCTTTTAAAGTCTGTGATAAGTTGCTCTAAAGTTAATACCAAATATGATTTTAATAGGGATGCTGGTGTTCTCGGTTCCCAATTCACGTTTGTGTAAAAGGTTGCTTGATTCTACTTGGCCATTAGTCAGTAGCTTTTGGAAAAAATTGAGGCAGATGAGTTATGTCATCAGGCGCTTGGTATTTACTTTGGTTGATTCACTTGGTGTCTGAGAACAGGTCGAGAGGTTAGCCAGTTCCCTACTGTTAATTTAAGTAGAGTCGTAAGTTGTTTTAAATATATAGTACATTATCTAAGATGAGCATGCAGAGGCTCAGAACTTTAATTTTCCAGGAATAATATAGGTTTTAGTTAGTATTTGGACCACCATTCAACAGCCTTTCTGACCTTCTATTTCATTCAAAAGTGAAGAATTAGAAATTCTGATGTTATTTGTTAAGAAGTAATGGAGTTTCTGAACTCAAATGTTATTTCTTTAACAAATTAATGCAAACATCCTATTAAACTGTGCTAACAAGGAATTGTAGCTTCTGTCACCTAGAGGTTTGCTTCTAAGACTTTCTTTTTCCCTTAAAGTGGCAATCAGGTTAACAGAGAACTAGACATTTGCAAACCTAAGACTTTTCCATAATGATTCTTCAGAGATCTATTCATTTGAATCTTCTGCTCCTTCTATCCTTCAAGACAATGACATTTCAAAATCCCTTTTTCTCAGAAAACAGAAGTAATTGATAATTTGTTGTAATTTAAGGGTTACTCCTCTTCAAAAATCTGAAGTCGTCGAGATGGTGAAGAAGCAAGTCCAAGTCATAACTCTTGCAATTGGTGATGGAGCAAATGACGTCAGCATGATACAGACGGCGCATGTTGGTGTTGGTATAAGTGGCAATGAAGGCCTTCAGGCGGCTAATTCTTCTGATTACTCCATAGCTCAGGTAGAGTATCATTTCTGCAAAACACACCATTTGTCTCAGGTAGCTGACGCTATGAAGAGGAAAATACTAATTTTTTTCCACTCTTATTTTAGTTCAAGTATTTGAAGAATTTATTGATGGTTCATGGTGCCTGGAACTATAACAGAGTCTCCAAATGCATTTTGTACTGCTTCTACAAGAATATAGTCCTCTATATTATCGAGGTAATAGCTGGTTAAGTTTAAAATCCTTGTCACTTGCATAGATATTTAAAGAAATTTTCTTTATGAAGACATTTTCTCATTGTTTTAATTAATCCTTCATTTGCCCACTTTTTGTAACTTCTAAACATGTTAAAACAAAAAGTTTGTTGGCCACGGAAAATAATTAATGTTTAAATTCTAGCTAAAAATTTGATATTGCTTTGGTAAGAAATGTTGAATTAGAATTGCTAATGAAGTAATGTTTTCAGTTTTTAAAAGACTACAAACTATATAGCATTTTTTATAAAGCTCAAAAATACTAGAGAAAGCAATACACTGTTTAGGGATGCACACGTGGGAAACTATTTAAAAAGAAAACTAAGAGCATGATAGATCTAAACCTGATAGCAGTTCTACTAAGGGGTGGAATCCAGAAGGACACGCATAGCTTCATCAGTGTTGGTCATCTTGTACTTCTTACTAAGTTTCAAACTTAGATACTTAGATACAAATCTCCCTTGCTACCCAGGTCTGTTTTGGTTTCTGAGATTGGTAGGTAGCAAGAGTTCAGATAATGAGGAAGTTGTCTAAAAATTACCAGAATATTCAGTTCCTGTGTCTGGTTAGCAAGGAATTTCTATATTCCTTTTCATGTATCAAATATAACATTTTTAAAAGGAATACTTAGCCTGGGTCAAGAATATCACTCCTAAATGGATGCATTTTGTTCTGCAAACATTTTTGCACCCCTACTGGGTGTCAGGCACCAGGTTTACAACTACAAAGTAAATCAAGCGTGGTTCCTGTCCTCCAGGAGCTTGCCAATAGAAATACAATGCAAGCCACATGTGTAATTTTAAATTTTCCAGGAGCCACATGAGCAACAAGTAAAAATTAAAGCCCAAATTCATTTTAAAATATTTTATTTGACTCAGTATATTCAATATTATCATTTCAACATGTAATCACTATAAAAAATTATTAATGTGATATTTTACATTCTTTGTACTAAGTGTTAAAAATCTGGTGTGTAATTTACGCTTACAGCACATCTCAATTAGGACTAATTACATTTCAAGTGTTCAAGAGCCACATGTGGCCAGTAGCTGCCATATGGGACAGCACAGCACTAGTGGATAGATAACTGAACTGGATGGTTAATCAGGACATGATAGATAAGGTATTTACCTTTTTTTCCCCCAACATACGGCCCTTTTATCATCAGAAGCTGTGTTTGTAAAACTGTAGGTTATCAGTGTCTTACAGCGCCAAAGAGCATGACGATGAACTCTCCATAAGCTGTTAAGAAAACCCTCCATCTTCCACTCCTGTCAGAGGACCTGCCCACACCCTCATAAATCTGCGCAGGGCTCCCTTACAGATGTTTGTTGATGCCACCTTGCCCTCTGATCTGTTGACTGTTTCTACACATCTATCAGAAGAGACACAACCTAACCATTTACTGTATGGAAATAATATCCCATACTTTACACCAGAGCGGTATCACTATAAACAAAAAATCAGTAGATTTCACATTTACCCTGTTGACATGTTAGTTGGGAACTGCTGTATATTTGGTTCAGCTGGTCTTTATGCCTCTGTCAGAATGCTTATCTCCTTATTAAAATGTTGACTGAGCACAGGTCTTATTATGAATCTGGCTAGTAAAATTGAAACTTAGTTTTGAAGTTTGCAGGCAGTTTCATTTATTGGTCACTAAAAATCTGTAATTAGGTTACAACCCGTTAGGTAAAATAATCAAATACTTGGAAACATAAACAAGATAATCTGAGTATACTTGTTGTTCATTACTGCTGAATTTGGTTTGGAATAGTCTGTGTTTTGAAGCAAAAGCCACTTCCGAAATAGCTTATAAGATCCAAAAAAATATATGTTCTTTGTTGTACGTATAAATTTATGATTCTTTTCTAAAATAATTATTTTTTATTCCCAATCTCCCCTATAGTTCTAGTTTTTCTAATTATATTTTCTTCTCATCCCAAAATATTGACATTCAAATGAATATCAATTTACACAGTTTATTTACATATGCTTTTGAAGATACCGGAAGTTTAAAGCCACTGGCAGCACTCTGCTTACAAAAATTTAATTTTGTAAAATGAAATAAGTACTCGACTTGCTGCTTTTTTAAATCTAGAGTATTTGACATTCAACAATGAAGTGGGCAAAACTTCCATACTAACGGGGGAAATAAAATAGATTAAGCTCAAATGAAAAACTAAATCTGCATGCTCTGTTTCAAATGCAGAGTTATGTGATTTGTGTTTGATTATCCCTAAATTTCACTTGGCTTTGAATTTAAAGTCTCTTCATGAGATATTTAACACTGATCGGATTTTTTACACATTGAAAAGGAAGTCAGTCCTGAACTTTACTGGAAATCTCATTTTTAAGTTATTTTTCTTTGAGCACTTTATGGAAATGTATTTTGAATATAATTCAACTATCTTGGAAACAAGTTGACCTTTTAAATCAATTCCCAGATATCCAACTTTTGCCAGCTAAAACAAGTTCTGCAGATGTTAATGGCTCATGTCAATACTGTGAATGAATAGACAGAAAACACATCATTGAATGTCTCTAGTGAGGACAACTGCCAGTCTCGAATCTCTCCTTTCAGTTTTTTGTGCTGATCAGGCGTGGGAGCAGAGGACTCGTTGACTGTTTGTAAGCTGCTGTTTAATATGCAGAAATGCTCCATCAGGAAAATGTCTCTGAAGCTTTAACTGCCACGCCTCTTCTGGGACGTGGAACTTAGAAAACAATACCAGGAGAGGCAGGTCTGAAGTTTCTCTGCGTATAAAGGAATAGTCTGGAACACTATGGGTTTTATGGATTATCGGCAAACACTGCTTTTCCCGTTGCTGTATTGCCAGGAATGTCACTATCTAGCTACTCCATTGCCATAAATTACAGCCAAACAAATAAATCCAGATTTGGCAGGTGGCACTTACTTACAGTGCCCGCCGGGCAGCAGCTCTAGGTGTTCATTGAAATTACTGGCTCTTTCTAAAGAGATTTTTTTTTTTTTAAATTATTTCTCTGAAACATCTGCATGCTTCCTAGCAAAATAAGACCTTTTCTTTCAAATGAGTGGTCGCATCCAGGTTTTCTGGTAAGATCCCAAAACAATGTAGTGTTTCTGTTTCCAGAAGCTTCGATTAAAGTCAATGAGGTGATCCTTTCCCAGCATGTTGTGCTGGGATATGGATTTCTTGTGAATTTAAATAATGTAGATACCTCCCCCAGAAGACTAATGTTTTCTTTCTGCATCCATGGTTTTGGTTGAGTCAAAGGAGAGACTTTTATTTGTTTATAGTAATTTCGGTGTTGTTTTATTTAGCATGGGATAGGTTTCTAATTAGATCTTCTAACTACAAACCTCAGACTCACTTGAAATCAGCTTTCTGGTAGACTTCTGCACTGTTAAGGATCTTTTCTCTCTCCTTTAAAATATGTAAACTTGAATGCCAAAATATTTGTGTGAAGGTGTAGAGTACTATATTAGGAAGTTCTGGTCTTATCAGGTCATTTCTCCTTTTTTTAGAAAGAAATTAGAATAATAACTTTTTAAAATACAGGAAGAGAATTTCTAAAGACATGTTTACATACCTTTCAGTACGAAAACTAAAAAGGTAAAAATGTGTTGATAGCTTTCCACTTAAAAATTTCTGCATTTCTATGAGAAAGCAGTTAATTTATGCATTTTAAAATAAACTTTGAAGGCAGACATGTTGGTTTATTTGCAGATTATTTTGAATTTGACACTTTCGGTAAATATTCATTGATTGAAGGGAGGTTCATAAATTTCGTGCTCATAGTAGCATTGGAATCAGCACCGAATGCTATGTACAAACAAGCTAGGAGACGATTCACATGTATAAAAATTTACTCACACACAAATTTATTAACATAACTTTCTCACTTTATACAGTATTGATGATTGCAAATGTGTTTATGATTATAACCTTTGAGCCAAGTCATGTCCCTTAGACAAATGTGGTACACGTGTAGCTTCAGCTTTCTCCAGAGCAACAAAGATTGGATTGCGTCTTCATAGACTAATGAGGCCATAATTTGAAAGTTTGTGTTTAAAAATTCCTTATATTTCTGTCATACCCTAAGAAATCTGAAAGAGCTTCTTAGCATGTATTACTACAGTAGATTACAGTCGCCTTCAGGGAGAATATTACCATCACCCAAGTATCACAAATATGTGTTTACATAATCCACATCTCAAAAAGGCCGAATGTGAAAACACAACAGAGAGCATTAAAGTCTGTTTTGTCAACTTGTGTCTACGTATGCTTTTAAAAAAAAAAAAAAGTGTCAAGTCAGCGGCACCACCCTAAGGAATAAATTTAACTTCACGTGAAGATGCTAAGTTCTTTTACAGTTTGCTTGCAAAAATGAATGATCTGGCTCCTACTCTAGGGCAGATGTTCAAATTTTTTCTGCAAATATATGTAGCAAAGCAAGCAAGAATTTCAGATTTGACTCCAATTTCTGTGCTTTTGTTATTATTGTTGTTAATGTGTGTTACAACCCTAACACAATTTGGACTTATTTTTCATGTGTTATCGCTACTTTGTTTTCTTTTCCATCTCATGAAGCAGACATTTGTTTTTATATATGTTGAATCATTCCTTTCCACTATAAAAAGGAGAAAGATCAACGTGGGTACAGAAACTGTTCATAGGGAGGCCAGCCTGGGTACATACTGATCAATGGTGAATTTGTAGCAATTCATGCTTCCATAATGAGGTTAAATGAAACGTGAAGTGGAGCAAAGTCCCAGCAACTGGGATTCAAAGATTCACTTGATCGGCATATCAAGACTGCTTTCCTCCAACAGGCTTTGTTGTTGTTATGTTTCGGTTTTGTGTATGTGTTTATGTAATCTCACTGCCGGGCCAGATTTTTTACTCTTCCAGATCAGCTTGGCTTTTAATTACATTTTAGGTCTGCTTTTTCAAAAATGATGCAGGTTTTCTTGATTTACTAATGTTCGCTTAATTTTCCATTTATGTTAAACATGTTGGAGAAAGTTTCTCTATATTGCTCTTTAATTTTAAGTTATTACAGTTATAACGGTTAAGGTTTCTGTTTTTAAGGGAATTGCAAAATATATAAGAATATTGTGCTCTATTAAAGATTTGTTTTTAATCAAAGCCTAAATTTAGGTTACAAAGTATTTTAATGTATAAATTCAGATTTCACGTTCTGATGGCTGTAATTATCAAGAATTATTAAAAAGCTCATATGCTTTGATCCGTTAATTCTACTTCTAAGAATTCATCCGAAAAACGAGCAAAACAACAAAGGGGCACAGGGAAATTTTTGGAGGTGATGGATGTGTCTGTTATCTGGATTGTGGTGATGGTTTCATGGGCATATGCTTATGTCCAAACTCACCAAATTGTATACATTTAACATGTACAGTTTTTTGTATATTAATTATACCTTGATAAAGCTATCTTTTTCATCCTAAGGAAATAGAGATGTGTAGGACTTCTGTACAAGAATATTCGGTTCAGAATTATGTATAATAGCAAAAACTAGAAATAAACTGAATATCTAAAAATAGTTATAGCCACACTGTAGAGGTTATAGATCCATTAACATCATTTTAAAGAATATGTAACAACTTAAGAAAATGTATATTATATAATGTTAAGAGGGAGAGGAGGGCCGGCCCCGTGGCTTAGCGGTTAAGTGCGTGCGCTCTGATGCAGGCTGCCCGGGTTCGGATCCCGGGCGCGCACAGACGCGCTGCTTCTCCGGCCATGCTGAGGCCGCGTCCCACATACAGCAACTAGAAGAATGTGCAACTATGACTTACAACTATCGCCTGGGGCTTTAGGGGAAAAAAAAATAATAATAATAAATAAATAAATAAATAAAAAAAAATTTAAAAAAAAAAAAAAAAAAAGAGGGAGAGGAGCAGGACAGGACAATATATACAGTAGGTTTCCAGTAAGGTAAATTTATGAATGTATATAAATGAACTATATGAATACAACCAATGCAGAAAAAAATAAATGGTGATTGTATTATTGTAGGAAATTATTTTATTTTCTAAATAAACAAATGTATTTTATAATAAAAGCAACAATAATCTTTAAGTAACTATCAGGAGATAGGTATTTTAAAAGTAAATTAAAGCTCTAAAAATTTAGTGGCATAAAATGTATTTCCTAAAGTGCCTTTTAGAAAATAAGGTTATATATTTTTTTAAATCTATAATTGCCTATTGATATAGTTCTTTGTTGATTTGACAAGTGGAGCCAGTTCTGACTTAATAACAAAATACCTTATGAAAACATCCCTTCAAATTAAAAAGTGAAGCAAAGAAATGCCATTTTCAAGAGAGTCGTGAAAATAATGTGTCAGTGCTGCTATTATGCAATGGTTGAGTATACAACAGATTCTAAGCAATGCATATGTGTTTTTTGTGTTCTAATTTTGGGGGTTTTGGGTTGTTTTCTTCCTAGATCTGGTTTGCCTTTGTTAATGGCTTTTCTGGACAGATCCTCTTTGAGAGATGGTGTATAGGTCTTTATAATGTGGTAAGTTTAGGACTTTTGATTATTCCTATTTTATTGAATACTTTGAGATAAAGGTTCGCCCTGCATTTGGCTGCTTGGTATAATGACCAGTTTGTGCACTTTAGATGTTTACAGCAATGCCTCCCTTAACTCTCGGAATATTTGAGAGATCATGCAGAAAAGAGAATATGTTGAAGTATCCTGAATTATACAAAACATCTCAGAATGCCCTGGACTTCAACACCAAGGTAGGACACAATGCCCTGGCACACGTTTGGGGGGACTCGCTTTACTGCCCTGATTACGTGGGGCATCTGGTCTTCCTAAGCCAAGGAAGCAACCCCAGGATGCCGACCATGGCAAGTCAGATTTGCCTCAGGTTCTGATATGGACTGAGAAGGTTTTCTGTTTGAGTGTTCCGTTATATAACTCCAGTGTAACCAGGATTCACTGGGGTTTGCCAGGCAGCGGTAAACTGAGTCTGGCAGACAGACATGAGTGTCCTTTTGGCCCTCTGACTTGCTGTCTTTGCGGTGTTGTGGGAAAATGCTCACTCCTCACAGGGGTCAGTCATCCAGGACTGACAAGGACTGTCTTTACAAGTATAAAGTGGAGGGGGGTGATTTATCATTCTTTACTAATTTTCTGTTTTGTGAAATTTGTCCTCATTAGAATATTAGATTGTATTGGGCATTAAAATTATAGTCTCTGGGAAATAATCATTTAGTCATAATACTCGATATTTCCAAGCCATAAAGTTTAAAATACAAGACACAGTATCCAACATTTTATCTAAAATCATAATCTGAGTTTATATCCTATATAATATGCCATGGCCTAGTGTTATCTTTTATGGTTCATGGTATTTATTCATCCCAACAACAAAAATGTCTCATTTTCTGCTTAGTTTACTTTGTAAGTATATATTCTAAAGTGTTTCCACTGGTATTTGTTAGTAATTCATGTTTCTGTTCAGTGTAAGTGAGGGGAAAAATTTTTAATTTTATGATAGTTAAGGTAGATGCCATTTTGAAACTATAATAAAAGCAACAAATATAATACACTTTCACAGAATTTTTTCCCATCTAATATAGCGTATGTTTATTAGCATGTTACTAATAATTAGATGTAACCTAAATTCAGTGTTTTGAATTTAGGACAGTTAATGTAGGATATTTTTAATATTTATTAATTCTTAAAGCTCTCAAATGACATTTGTTCTCAGTATACCAAGAGAATAAAGTGAAACAGGTGTTTCAGTGCCTCTAACCTCATACTGTACATGACAGTGCTAAGTTTATTGCCAGGATGTTATTCGTCTTCTGCGACTAGGTCTTCATGAATGCACCGTGCACACGTGTCCTGGTGTGCATACTCATAGAACTTGATGGCATTGTTTGAAATAACTGAATTTGGTTAATTTAAAAAAACTGAAGCCTTCTTAGATTTATACCATTGGTTGTGAAAAGTATTTTTAGTGGTCTCTTAAAACTACTACTATGTAAAGTGCAATGTCTATGCTTTTATTTTTGAATGTTTTATTTTTGGATTTTTTAAAGTTGTTTATGATGTCCGGTTTGTATTAAATTTCACCACCTTGCTGGAATGTTTTTCATTACCTATGGTAAATATTTTCATGTGAAGGAAAGCTGCAATCTGGTCAGATAAAATGGACTATGAGCTCTTGTTTCCCTGAAAAGGTGATCTGAGAGCTAGGAAAGTTTCAGGCTTACTGCATACTAACAATAATTCTCACCATCCTAGAGAGTTGTATCACCCTCAGCCACAGGTCCCCAGTCTACTGTAGCTCCGGCTCCCTGGTGCTCTCTTCAGAGTAAACTTTCCAGCAGCAAACTTGGCCATGGTACTCTTGCTTATAGACATAAATTGATCCTCACCAGATTACCCAAAGCCGTTCCTGGAAAGTCACATCCTTTCATCCCCTTTGCACATGGCAACTTGGAGACAGTTTTGTGGCCAGGGCAAAGGAAGTATATAGTTTTAATGTGGAAACATCATTCCGTGTGTCTTTGGCTCTTTTGTTGTTTACAAAGTATTTCATTATCTGCAGAGCCCATACATTTCGAAAAGTCATCAGACCAACCCAAATAAATTATACAACTTCTGTATCCATTTGAATATTTATAATACACAAGTTGCCGACCATTTTTTATAGGGTTTATGGATTTTTCTAATGATTTCAGTGAAAATTCTTTGATTAAATCCCACATAAGTGTTTTAAAATTCAGGGACAAATGGCTACAAAATGCATAGTTGTCTACACAGCCATTGCTGTGGGTCTCCAGTGTAGAAGCATTGTTGTCCTGAATGATGATGATTACGTTTGTTATGGTAAAAAGGGTCGGAGGTTCTGAGGTCGTGACAGGGGTTGAAGGATTAGCATGTGACAATAAGTATCGGTCAGGAAAATGGAAAAGTAGAACTAATTTTTCTTGCACCCACCTGTGCTTTCTGTCAAATAAAAACTTGTGGTAATGACATAGTGAGGAGAAGAGACAAAGGTTAATGAGTAACACAAGTTCAAATGTGTAATGTATTGGAGCGTAAATTGGATCATACAATCCAGTGTGGCTGGGTGCGCTAACAAAGGAGATTGAGATCACAGTGGAAAATTTGGGAGGCAGGCAACTTAATTTCTGTTGTTTGAACAGCTTAAAACTATTAATACATGCCAATTTTATTTAGTGTAAGTTTTGCTTGAAAGAAGCACTTTTCAATGACAAAACTGCAGCTCTTTAAAGGGGGCATAAGAATTCTAAACAGTTTGTCTATAACTTAATCTTTCACATCTATGCTACAAAAGAAGTACTAGTGATACATGCTCTCTTGTTCTTCAAATACAATAGATATAGAAAGTAATAACTATTGAATGATGTTATAATTTTATAAAGTTTGATGTGGACAGGTGTTAAAAATTGTGAAAGCCTTTTATAAATTCAGTCATAGTGACAATGCTTTACTTGAAGAAATTAGACAATAAATGTTATACCTGCTATTTTTAGTATATAATGGTGTGTGTATATAGATACAAATAGAGATAGTGAATGCCTTGTATCCTTATCAGTGAAAAGTTTACACTTTTATTGCACATGTGAAAGAGAAAGAGATTTCACCAAAGTACAATCTTTTCAAAAGTCCATTCTTTTGGAATTATGAACATAGTCCTACTTAAAGAATTTCAGGGTCTGCATTTATTTTAAATTTTATTCTCTTTTTTCAGGCAGAAATTTAAACTTTTAATATTTGGTTTTTAAAAAGTAGAAAAATTTTCAGTGAAGCTGAAAAAACATTTTGAGAAACATAAAAATAAATAAATGACCCATGAAGGTCTAAGAGGCAGAAAGTGTCTGTCAGTTCTATTAATTCACAGTGGTGGCCCGACAGAAACACGTTTTGTGAATCTAGCTCACAGATAAAAAGAAAGGTCAGAGTTCACAGAGCTAGTTTATCGCAAATGGTTCTCATGGATTTTTGTTTTCCCTCAGGTTTTCTGGGTTCATTGTTTAAATGGCCTCTTCCACTCAGTTATTCTGTTTTGGTTTCCACTAAAAGCCCTTCAGTATGGTAAGTAGAAAGGATATGAATGCTAAGAGATGACTTTTTCCTTTTTTAGAAAAATAACTCGTCAATATATGTTAAAAATTATAGTAGTGTTACATTTTATGGTATTTTCCTTAACCTGAAATACATGCATCCAAAAGTTGTACACACTTTAAAGAGTTTTATTATTCCTTTGGGAGCAAAGTGATTTAATATATGCAAAGCCTTTCTTCTCTACTACTCATGTTTTCCAAACTTGCAGAGAGTTAAATTTTAGGGCTCTTTTTTTCCTCTGTTGATGTATAGTTTGAAGACAATAGTGCTAATATTTTATGTAGTCTGTTTATTATACCTATGAGGCTTGTATCAGGCTTTTTATAGTGAACCTAATCAGACATGCTAGTATTTTCAAATATACTGGAGCCGACGTTTGGAATGAGATTTTTAATACATTTTTATGTTCATCTTGGAGTGTAAGCTTTTCCTCTGCTTGTTTTGAGGGAGTGATTTTATTCTGTCAGTTTTGAGAGAATCATGGTGATCATAGCATCATGGTGAATTTCCGATACACATAAAAATGATTAAGTAACCACTTTAGGAAAGAGATCCCTGTGATACTTAAGCTGGTGCTGCTGTGTCCCAGAGCAGACCTTGCCTTGAGATCCTGAGGAAGACACCGACCGTTCGCTGCCTCTGCTCCCCAACTACAGTAATTAAAAACACGACACTTGCTCCACTGCAGAATCCGTCAGTCCTTTAGATAAGTACAGGCCGTGCCTCGCTGACTCTGAGTTAATGATTGCCAAGAGAAGAGCGTGCTGTCCATCTGCTCCTGCCCACCTACAGTCTGTTCTCCACAGACAACCAGAATGATCCTTGTAAAACTTAAATCAGACCAGGTGCCTCTCTCCTCAGAAACCCACAGACTTCTATCGTGTTTAAAAGGAGGTCCAGGGCTGGCCCCGTGGCTTAGCGGTTAAGTGCGCGTGCTCCACTGCTGGCGGCCCGGGTTCAGATCCCGGGCGCGCACCGCCGCACCGCTTCTCCGGCCATGCTGAGGCCACGTCCCACATACAGCAACTAGCTGGATGTGCAACTATGACATACAACTATCTACTGGGGCTGTGGGGAAATAAAAAAATAAAAGGAAGTCCACAGCCCCAATCTTAGCCAACTCCTCCGCCTGATTTTTTCCCCGGCTTTTCCTCCTCACTGTGCTGCAGCCTGCCGGCCTCTGTGTGGTTCTTCATTCTTCACCCAGGTATTCCAGCTGGCTCGCTCCCTCACCCCGCAGGTCTCTGCTCAGAGAGGCCCTCCCAGACCACCCTATCCAGAAGAGCCAGCCACACTGTCCCCACCACGCCTGTTGCTCCATCCTCTTGTCCTCCTGTGTCTTCTTCGTGGTACTTGAAGAGTCTGATATATTTGCTTATTTTTAATTGTCTTTCTCCTCTATTAGAGTCAAAGCTCCAGAAGGGGAGGGAATTGTCAGTTTAATTCACAGTTGTATTCACAGTGCTTAGAACAGTGCCTGGCTCATCACAGGCACTCAGTAAATTGTCAGTGAGTTAACAAGAGCATGCAGCATGGATGGGGGTGAGTGAGTGTTACAGAAAAAGCAGTGGTTTTATGTCCTAATTAGAGATTTTCATCTCATTTCTTTATTAATTGCTCTGCCAATACAACAGTAAATACTTCTCTTTTTCTAGGCCATGGAAATGAGTGTGGTAAGAAAATCTAATTAAAGTAGATAAAATATTGACCCAGTAGGCCAGGAGAACCACAACGGAATTTTTTGTTTTTGAGATATAATTCACATAGCATAAAATTCACCTTTTAAATTGTACAATTCAGTGGTTTTTAGTATATTCATGGGACTGTGCAAATGTCATCACTATTTAATGCCAGAACATTTTCATCACCCCATAAAGAAATCCCATATCCATTAGTAGTCACTCCCCATTTCTCCCTACCCTCTCCTTCAGTGCCTAGAAACCACTAATTTTTGTCTCTGTGGATTTGCCTGTTCTGGACATTTCATATAAATGTAATCATATAATATGTGACTTTGGTTCATCCCTGTTGCAGCAAGAATCAGTACTTTATTCCTTTTTATGGCTAAATAATATTCTATTGTATGGATATACCACACTTTGTTTATTCATTCATCAGTTGATGGATATTTGGATTGATTCCACTCTTTGGAGCCATGGGATATTGAAATCCAGGGTACAATACAGGACCTTAGGCAAGTTCTCTAAGTAAGGTTTATTTTCAAAATGCAAAATCAATATAGGTATGAAAGACTAGGCATGTCCATCTGTTAAACTGCTATTTCAGTATTCTAAATTAGAAAAAATGTTTAATTTCAAGTATCTCAAGCCAAATAGCATCTAAAACGCCTTAGCCATGACAGGGTTTGAAAGGAATTCCCAAGGAACCTCAGCTCCTAGAAAGCAGATCCAAGTCTTCCTTTGTATTTGTCTGGGGAATTGCCTAAGCCAGCCAGCCCTCATCAGCAGAGGCTGTTCACAAGGGGTGCTGCCTGTATAACCCAAGTCTAGCCAAGTCCAGAGAACATGTGCTTTCTCTTCTGAAGACATGAATGGCATGTAGCATAAATTGCATTTTAACATCTGATGTTGAGGGTTTTGTCTTTTTTTTTGCCCTGTTTTTAATTTTTAAATAGGAGAAGTTTTTGATTTTTTAGCTTTTGAAAGGATGGGGTACAGAAGAAATATAAACATGCTATATAATGTGTAGCTAAATATTCATTTATTCACTTGTCTCAGTGGTTCTCAAAGTATGGTCATATAGACACCTGGAAATACCCATGAGCTTTTGGGGGTACATCAGGTCAACAAAATTGCATACTTTCAGAACTTTTATAATAGTATCAAGACATTATTTGTCTTTTTCATTCCTGATGCAAAAGCAATGGTGGGTAAAACTGCTGGTACTGTAGCACAAACAGTGGCACCACTGTACCAGCAGACATTATAGTCTTCACTGCCACGTGCCCACGTTAAAAAAACAACAGCAAAAGCCAGTTTCACTTAAGAATGTGCTTAAAGCATCTGTAAAACTAATACTTTTATTAAATCTTGGAACTTGGTACACATCTTATTAACATTCGGTGTGACAGAATGGGAACTATGCCTAAAGCACTTCTGCTGCGTGTCAAAGTGTGGCAGGTGTATCGACGTGTGGTGCCTTGTGCATTTCTGAGTTGTGAGCTGAGCCAGCGACTTTCACGAGGTTGCAGAATCGTGCGTCGGTAACAGATCCATTCGGAGTGTAAAGTGGACCAATGGATTTTAATGTAATAGAGTTCATTGATAGAGTTTCAGATTCCATACTGCAACTAACCTTTAAGAAACAATCTCTACCTCTTTAAGAAACTACTTGCTGAGTTTTGATGTAGTATCAAAGAATATCCACAATTAGTAGAAAAGATTATTAAAATACTCCTCTCCTTTATAACTTCGTCTCTCTCTGAAGTTGGGTTTCCCTCATATTTCAGCCAGAACAATATGAGAATCTTGCTGCCTTTTATTAAGCCAGACATTAAAGAGGTTGTAAGGTTGTAAAGCAATGCCGAGTTTCTCACTAACCTTTTTTGTTTTGGAAAATAGTTATTTTTCATAAAAATCTGTTTACATTCCATGTATTGGGTTTATTACTTTTATTTTTAGATAAATCATATTTTTAAATTTTGTGTCTTAATTTCTAACTTGGTAAATATTGATAGATATAAACCACATAAACAAAATCTTTTTGGAATCCTCAGTAATTTTTACGTATAAAGAGGTCCAGAGAGCAGAAATTATGAGAACAAATGATTTACCTAAATTATCCAAACGCTAAACCTGACAAACCCAACAAGAGGCTTTTAATTTTTTCCCTCAATGTGATCTTGAAATGAATCTCTCGATTCCTTCAGATGAACGAGTGGTGACTAGAAGGCTTAGTCAGACCCAAATATGATTATTTTTGATAATTTGCTTACATGGTTAAGGGACCTCTGTAGAAGCATGGAAGTCAGGAAGTAATCATAAGATATCTTCAGTTATTTTGTAGATTTCTGAGTTTGTTAATTTGTTCTATGGAAATTTGCAGATTAATTGCAGGCATAAGTTTGTCCACAACATACCCACAAGACGTAGCATATCAGATCCTATGTCCTTAATCATGGAATACCCCCACAGAGAAAGGTGGTCTCCTAGGTTGCTGGGCTGACTGCTAAGCAGCCCTTCCTGGCTACTTTTAACCAAAAACTTTAGAGAGGGAAGGGTCACATTGTGGAGCATCTGCCATGCTCCAGGCACCCTGCTCAGTGCTTCACATTTGAAATTCATTTTAACCTAAATCCCTCCAAGGTGGGTAGTTGCACTCCATCTTTTAAGTTAAGAAACTGAGTTCCATGGAGATTGATTATAAACGACCCAAGATGACACAACTAGTAACAGAACCAAGCCTGGTCTGTGTCTCCAAAACTCACCAGACTATCTTATCTCTTCATGCCAGCACCACTCTCCTTGACTCGTCCCATACTTTATTCTAACGTATTTTGTCCTTGTGTATTGAATATGTATTTCAATAAATATTGTTGAATATGTGCATAAATAAAATATTGTATTACACATACCATGGGTTTAAATTTTTCACGGGTGCCAATGATTTAATTATTCAGGTTTTTTTCGTTTTATTTTTTTTATCAGTAATAGTAATTTTTGTTTGTTAACTACCACTCCCTTCATCTAAAGCCAAGTTCTTTGGTCATTGCTAGAATAACAAAATACTTTAAGGTATATCCCTAAATTCAGCCAGATTCTCAAAGAGCCATGTGCCAGAATTGTATTGATGCTCCTCAGTCTTCTATGAGTTGCTTTTATGAATCCCTGTTGGTCCAATGCTAACAACTTTATTGAGAGATAGTGAGAAGGCTCCCTAAAGTGTCATCTAAATTGTTAACAAAGTTCTTTATTAAGGGTTCAGAATGCCTTCTCCTGTATCAATGCCCATAGCATTAAGCTTTGCTTGAACAAACAGTTTGATTTTTTTTTTTTTTAATCTCGTAGACCCTAAGAAAGAATTAGTTAACAAATCAGGTTTTCTTCTTCATGTTGGCTGTTGGAAATTTGTTTTTAATTTATGACCATATTAATGGCAACTTTTTGCGACTTCTTAAGTATTTTTTTTTGTTTTGTTTGTTTCCCTCCTCAAAGCCCCAGTACATAGTTGTGTATTCCAGTTGTAGGTCCTTCTATGTGAGCTGCTGCCACAGCATGGCAGCTGACAGACAAGTGGTGTGGTTCTGCACCTGGGAACTGAACCCGGGCCGCTGAAGCAGAGCATGCCCACGTTTAACTCTTACAGTGTTTTTTTAATTAGCCTCATTTCTGGCTCCATTGTGTGGCCCTAAGTTCCCCTTCTTTTGTTCAACACTTGTAAATTGATTTGTCTTTGAAAGGCTTCTAAAGGACCTCATTTATTTTCTTTTCTAACCAGCCTCTTTTCTTTTCGTACAGGTAATGTATTTGGAAATGGGAAAACCTCCGATTATTTGCTGCTGGGAAACTTTGTTTACACTGTGAGTGCTGGGCATTTGCCTAGTTTGCATCTAACATCAAATCCTTTCATATGTGCTCATTTTATTTTCAGATTTAAATATGTGCATTTGTGAATTTAAAGATTGTTTACACTTCCCTTTAAAAACGAAATGAGATGCTTTGACTGTTAAGAGATTATTTTATATTAGGTTATAAAAATGTCATTTAGGTTCACTGACTTTATAGGACTTTGGTTGCTATTATTGTCAATATTCCCTCTTTGCTCTGATTGCCTCTCATTTGCCCTTTTTCTCTTCCTTGTCCCTTTTATTTTACTGCCCTTGTTAATATTTTCTTGCTTTCCTGAATGCGTGGCAGTTATTATTGTAGTATTCTTGGGTGTTTAACCAGTAATTATTCTAGAGTCTCATGAAAACTAAAATGGGAGAGAAATCTCCACTCTTTGGGGACATTTCACCCACACAAGGCATGGAACCTGCTGTGTTAAGTCACTATGCCAAACGCTTGTGGAAGATACACAGATGAACACAAGCTCATTCCTGCCAGAAAGAGCCAAAAAATGCTTTAAAACCATTTTTCCCTTAAAAGTCAAAAGCACTGCTTGAATGCTGATGCCCAAGGTCACACACTTGGTATCTGATAAAAGTTTACCCCAACCTTCAACTCTGAATTCCCAGACCAATGTTCTTTTCTCTCTACTCATGCGTCCCTCCCATGACCCCTAAATGGGGCAGTGTGCTGTTCTAAATACTAAGTGGCTATGGGAATGGCTGACTCAGTTAGTAGAAAAACTATAATATGATATTTAGATATCACATGTTTAAATAACTGAATGATAGGACCTTAAGGCCTTTAAGTACAGAGGGATTAGGTTTTTCCGGGGGTCTTCTTTCCATTGACATCAACCCACTGAAGGTAGTAACAGAAAAGAAAAATATGTTTGGGGTGGCTGGTAATTTGTTCTCATACAACATGAGTACAAAACATGAGAAAAAAGTAAATACTTGATAGAGTAAGTTTAGAAATTAATCAGAGTATATATCATGGGTGTTTCCTAGGGACACATTAAACTATCCAGGTCTCAGGATGGTGTTTTTCTTTAATTTTGTGTCAAACTATGTCTCTCATTTTAGAACTTTCTATATAGCTTAAGTTAATTAATACTTACATTTTAGTAAGAGTTTTATTTCTACAGATATTAATTCTAAATTGCCATTAGATATCCTGCTGAGAAAACCCAATGCTCCACTTGAACCTAACTTTATGGCGCCACTGGGGAAGCATCTAAACAAATACCATGTGCAAACCATTACAATGCCTGAAAGTAGGTCTGGGCACTGCAAGCATTTACTGATGACCAACGCTAGGCAAACATCACGTTCCCATCGCCACAAACTACTAAGAGTGCCCAGAGTTCCCTTGACTGCTAACAGTATTTAAAATTTTATTATTAACTATAAATAGATAATAATAGATAATACCACAGTGCTAAGCACTGTTCTTAGTGTTTTACACTCAAACCCCTATGAGGTAGGTAAGCTTTATCACTCCCAGTTTGCAGATGAAAGAGCTGAGACACGGAGAGGTCAAGTAACTTGCCTTGTTCCCTAACCACAACGGCTAACAAATGATGGAGTCTGAGCGTGAACAGTCTGACTCCAGGGCTAGGCCATTTAACCGTATGCTGTCTTGTGGAAAACACAGGGCAGTTCATTAAACCCGGTTCCCTTACTTCAGAATCAGTAGCGTAGTCACCAACAGTGATGGGTGTGTACGTCATGGAGGGTGTAACAGGCTCTTATATCCTGCTCTGCAGGGATTCAAGTAAATAAAGTTACAGAGTAAGTGTTGATTTCTAAATATCCACCTATATTACTTTTACAATTTATCTTCAAAATGCAGAAAGTGGGGCTTTAAGTATTACAGATAATATAAAATCAAGTTAAAGCAAGCTTGAAAACCCACATCACTGCAGATGTATATTCTCAGTTGCTAGTCATGAATTGTGCAAGAAACAGGCAGGCGCGTGTTCAGGAGCCTCGTGGATGCACTGTAAGGCTGTGAGGGTGAGGAGAGGCAGGGAAGGGAGACACGAGTGTGATGCTGCTAATGGGCAGTTCTGACTCGTCATGGTGGTAACATTCACAAGCTAATTCACTTGTTTCTTTGCTTGTTGGACGTACAAGGCAAGCTGTGAATAATCTGCCATCCCATAATCTAGTTCAGAGACACCTGTTCTTTTATAAATCTCACTTTCAGTCATTTGATAAACTATCATATTTATGAAATAAAGTAACATTTTCCCTTCTGTTTTAGTTTGTGGTGATAACTGTCTGTTTGAAAGCGGGATTGGAGACATCGTATTGGACATGGGTAAGAGGGTCTTTGACCAACCAACACATGTCACATTTACTTATGCATTATCGCTGATTATTTTTTTGTTTTTCATTCTAACTTTATGTATCCCTGTACCCTAGTTCCACAAGTTGCTAATTGTGGGGGATCAGGGGTGGAGGGAGGAGAACTGGAGATTCTAGTTTATCTAGTTTGGAAACACTGAGTAAAACAAACTTGAATAAGTTTATTTACCACAAGACTTCTCAGAGCCTTTAGTATATTATCATATGTTGTGAGTATCCCAGGCTTTCAAACTTATTTTAAGGCTTTCAAATTTATTGACTGGGAATCTTCTCTAGTGTGTCACAAGACTGGCATTGGGCAGAAAACCCATTGGAAAATGATTCTGAAGCCCAATAGTATTAGTGAAAGATTTGTCTTCAGACATTTGTAAAACATTTGTAAATATCCAGTCTGGATTTAAAAAGTTCCATTTCAGATATGTTAGTTTTGAAGTATATTCACATCGAGGTAGAGAGACCCAGTAAACAAAAAGAAATGAAAGTTGGATGCTCAGGGGAAAGATTGGCACAAGCAATTTGGATTTGACAGTCATCGGCTTACAGATAGTATTCACACGAGTGTCTAACATCTTTCAGCCAGAGCATGCAGAGAGAAAATGAAGGAGGCTTAAAGATGGTAGGGGATTAAAAAAAAAAATGAGTCAGAGGAGAGACCCACCAAAGGAGGTAGAGAAGGAATAGTTCTAAATGCCAGTAGCACAAACATCCTAACTGTTGTGGAAGAGATTAGCTCTTAATGCAAGATCCAGTTAAAACACACACACAGTTATCTACAAATTCTCATAGATAATATTTTATGGATGTAGTAAAAAATTAATAAGGGAATTTGTGAAAACATCATTAGTGTTTGTGTACTCAGTCTACCTAAAAGTCTTTTGACTCCGATTCCCTTCCTTCACAGTTCAGCCACGTAGCAATTTGGGGCAGCATTGCGCTCTGGGTGGTGTTTTTCGGAATCTACTCGTGTCTGTGGCCTAGTGTTCCGATGGCCCCTGATATGTCAGGAGAGGTAAGGTGTCCTAATAACTCATGATCCAACAGTCCTTAAAAATTGGTAATGAACCTTAATTTTTTGGCTTGGAGTTATATTAAAATAGTATTTGACAATTTAAAAGCTATTTTTAAATTCCACAGTTGTGAGTGATAAATCTTAAGAGAATATTTTAACCTTGGACATTTTACTTAAATCTGATTCTTCCTTTCTTTATAGCTGGGATAATAAAATATGGTTGTCAGGAGCTTGAATCATGTTAAGAATATCCATAGAGAAAATGCCGTTTTAAAATTAGACCATAAATCCACAAATACATTTTGGATAAGAGGTTTGGGGAAGCGGTGAGTTTGTGTCTTTGGGACAGTCTATAATTTCTTCTGCTATCTCTTATTCTAAAGAGAAGTCTACTATCACTAGATTAAATGCACTTTCAGAGTTGTCTTAATGACATCAGCTGGGTTTTCATTGTGGAAGAGTTAGGGTATTTGACATTTCAGCCTTATCATAGTCCATTTTCAATTCTGTCTCTCAGTTTCTTGTTACACTGGTAGGAATTGAGTTATTAGGTGTTCAGGGGGGAGTGTCACAGGATCTCCTTTCCTTCAGAAGAGATTGCAGCAGTAGGAGGGTTTATGATTTCAATTGCAGGAAATTTGACATAAAATGTATAAAAGAAAATGTGGAAAACATTTCAGGATTTCCTGTGACCTCACAGTAACTTGCAAATCAAGGTAATGTGAGCTCCGTTACAATACATTGTTTTCCCGCAGTCACAGGAAATCTTTCCAGTGGTTTCCATGTATTTGTTGCCTCTAAGTACTGCCTGAGTACCTTTCACTTTTGACAGTCTGGTTTATAGATCATTTTCATGAAATTTTATCTGACAGCATCCTGCTTTTTATAAATTAGCAGAATGCAGACACATTAAAAAAATTTTTGTGGTTAAATTTATTAGAGAGAGGCATGATATACTATTACAGAAAAACCAGACATATCAAGGAGCATGTACTTCCTTCCACCAAAAGCAAAGGCTTCTTTTGAAATGTGTGCTGTGAAGTCTAGAAAATTTATAGCATGTATTTTGAGGAGAACAGAGAGAAAGCCGTAAATGCATCTCCTCACCTTGGTTTCTGAGTCCTTTTTTCCTGAAGAAATAAAAATCAAAGACTTTATATATCTGATGATGCCACTTGGAAAATCTAGTGTTGTTCTTTGTTTTTATTTGATGTGCTCTGATTGGACCTGCTTTTCCCCGAGGTCACTTCTACCTTACTATCTTTTTCATTCAACCTCATTTTATCGCATTTCTTAATGTTTTATCTTCAAAATGAATGACACAAAAGATTTTGAGATGGAGATCGTTTAAGCAGCGGTAGCCAATAGCTTTGATGACAAGAACAGAGTTTTTGACCACCTACTTCTAGGACAAGTGTGAAGTTTGACTGGCTTTTGGCCCAGCAAATATAATTCTACCCTTGCCTGTGGAATTCCTGGTATTACCCAAACACAAAACTTAATATCATCTCTTGAGATTTGGGGTGATGCTGTGTTTAATTCAAAGTGAAATGAATGTCAGTGCTCTATCACATGTCTGTTCATGTCAGATACAGGGGGATGTGCTAATGGGGCTTCTTTTTCTTGTTGTTTTATTAATACTGATACTTTGAATATAATGTTTAAATAGCTGGTGCTCCATTGAAAATACGAAGACTGGATTAATTCAGCTGTAGGCTTAACTAGCTTCTTCAAAATGTCTGTTTAATTTATTCAAAGAAAAGAATAATACTTTAAATTTATGTAGTACTTAGTGCTTGCAAAGCATTTTGATGTATATATATATGTGTGTAAATGATCCTCACAACCCAACTCCAAAAAAAGAAGATAACAAGAATAGCACTCAAATTCTCAAGGACAGATAGTCTGCATTTACTGCCTACTGGGTGTTAGGGTGAAAGAGCCCCAAAAATGTTGTAGCAATACTCAATTTTTGAACATTTTTATTATATGTAGAAAGTCATTAGTTCTATTAAAATCCAGCTAATTACAGAAAGAAGTAACTACCCTTAGGTTTACATTTTCCTAATCTTAAAATTCTATATTTCCATCGAGGGTATAGCCAAATACATACATACTAATATAAGAAAAATCCATTTATGTGCCAATATTTATACTTGTATGTATATATATATATATAAAATTGGCCAACCATCTTGAATAGAATTTACTTATTCATCTGTTAACTGTTTCATAGCAAAATACTATTGTAATATATTATATATTACATATGTATTATTATATATTACATATAGTGATATATTATTGTAAATAACACCAGGATAAGTATAAATATTAGCATTCTCTGACTTGGCATGTTTTATATAATCCTCATAATGAAACACAACACGGGGCAGCCCCCAGAACGTAAGGGTATTCTGCAGGATTCATGGTGTGGTGCATGGGTAATTTTCTGTCACCACGACTAACAGGGTCATAAGTATCTAATCCAAAGACCATACCCCTAGGACTCCAGTCCTTTCCTGTATTGATTTGGCGGCAGTTCCTTCCAAAACTAATTAATTAATTAAATATGTGTGTATGTTTTGGGGCCTAAAAGCATAATGAGGGCCTCCGGGATAGTACAGCATTAATACAGATGGAGTAGAGAGACTGAAAATAGCAGCCCTGTTCCCCCCTGTCCTGATTCAGGTGATATATTGAAGGGTGAGGTAGTGGATGGTTTTAAAGGGGTATTGACACGATAGAGAATTTCTTCAAAGAGGCAGCCAAGATCTGGGAAGGTTAATAACACCAGTAACACCTAAGGTCTGTCGAACACTTGATCCCAGGTACTTCTCTGAGTGCTATATATGCGTTCAGTCAATCGACTCAACAACTAGTTGTTGAGATTCTTTTATGGGTCAGGCACTGTTCTAGGCACTGTGGATTCATTAGTGAATAAAATAGACAAAAACTCATGCCCTTCTCAGCACACTTTTCCTCTAGTGGAAGGAGATAGAAATTAAATAAAATAATTGAGATATACAGACTGATATAAATACTATAGAGAAAAATACAGCAGGCTAGGGGGCGCTGAGAGCTGAGCCTTCCGCTGTGTTTCCTGTAGAGCCTTGTGGCTTTTACTCAAGGTCAGATCAAGAGCCCTTGGAGGGGCATGAGAGAGAGGTGTCATGATCTGACTTATCTTTTCCCAGTAGGATTACAGCTGCTGTGATATGAACCACTTAGAGGGTTATTGCAGTAACCTAGGGGAGAGAGAGTGGTGGCCTGGACCAGAGGGCGGCAGTGGTGAAAGTGGTCAGATTCTGAATCGAGTTTGAAGGTAGAGCCAATAGGATTTGCTGACAGACTAGAGTAAAGAGTGAGAGGGAAAGAAGTCGAGGTAGACTCCATCGGGTGGACCGTGAACCTCGTCAGGACGTGCTTGTTCTCAGCTCACTGGACCCTCACAGCAATTTTGTTATTATAGCCATTTTACAGATGAGGAAACAGAGGCACAGAGAAGTTAGTACCTCATCTGACATCCCACTAAGACTAAGTGACAGAGATAAGATTTTGACTTAGATGTCTGGTCCTGGAGTCTGCTACCTTAAACACTGCATTATGCTGCTTCTCTGCTCATAGTTACTCAGAGGAATCCATGGTATGTAATCTGGAAGTTAGAAGTCTGAAGGGACCATCACTCCTTGCAGGTATCTCAAAGATTTGTGTACGAGAGGAAGTCTCTGTTTTCTGTTTTCCTGACAGCACTGCCTCCTCCACGTTTCTACTCTCTGGAGACATTTCGGTGGTCTTGTTCTTCCTCAGTCCATCCTCCACATCTGAGCCGCAATAACCATTCCAGAAGGCTTACACTCCTTCTCGAGGTCCACTGCCTCTTCATTTCTTTACTCATTCACTCCAATATAACAATGTCAGGATCCTAGTGCCCCATAAATAAGTGTTAAATAAATGATCATTAAGTAAATTTTTTTGCTTGCCTATTTGTTTTGAACAAACAAATGACACAGAATGGGATAGAGGAGACAGAGAGGCAAATTTCAGCTCAAACAGAACAAATTTCTGACATCTAGAGATTTCCAACATGTGGAGATTGCCAGCAGCAGAAGAGGATGCTAATCTCATGTTACTAATCCTTCCTGTGCGGGTCAGTGGTGAGCTCTCGGCCACTAGTGATACATGGGCAGAGCCTCATTTGTCTACACTCCAACGTTGCCTTCCAGCTCCTGCGATTCAGATTGTCGGTGTGCTTCTCTTCACTGTGCTCTCTCCAGAGGAACATCTTAAATGTTGGAAGGGCACAGGTGATTTTGCTCTAGTTAACAGGATCTCAGGGTGCAAATTATACACAGATTAGGCAATTTACAGGTACAGGTCTCATGCTTCTATATTCAGCTGGACACATATTCACACATAGGTCGGGATCTTATGGTCATTTCCAATTTACATTCTTGGTTCATCTTTGCAGCCCCATCTGAAGACAGAACTATTCTCTCAGTGTGTTGAAAATATGCTTGCTCGCTAAGAGGGGGACAGAAGGGAATCAACATTTATTATGCACCCACTATTCTCTCCAGGCACCGTGTTTGATCCCAGGCAGTCCTTGTTTTATTTAAGTCCATATCACAAACTTTTGTGGTAAGCAGAGCAATAGCAAGACCCAGAGAATTCATTCCAGGTTTTCTTTTCAAGCCCCAGTGGTTTCCTCTAATATCCTGAGGAACTAAAAACCTTCTGTTTGGGGCCCATTGCTATTCCTTACTCCCAGGCGGGAACTCTTTTCTTGCCGCCATCTTCCTTGCATTCTGTCGATTTCCCAGGATACCCAGGGCCCGGATCGATTTTCTTAACCAGATATAAAAGTGTGCCCATCTCTTTTTTAAAAGTGCCTAGCTTTTTAATTCCCTCTTTTCAACACCCACCTAACTCCCTCAACCCCATTTATAGACATTCCGTGTCACTTCATATCCTAGCCTCTCACCTCTTCTTAACAGCAT